TAAAGTAAACAGTTCTAGTTAATGAAGTGTGAAAAACCCCCGCACGCATACATCAACGGATGTTCCCAAAGAGACTTATATGAACGCATGAACATAAATATACACACGTATTTTAATCTAGAGAGGTGGGTCTATCGAAGATTAATGACGTCAGGGGCTGTATAGAATAAATAGTCCATATATTCTGTTGCCACGTAGCAACAACACTCTGACAAAATGTCGTCTGACATAAAAGCGCATACGAAGAATATATGTGCCCTTAAAATCCCAATAAGAAAAAAATGAACATATTGTTATTGGACCTTACCCATAATAACATAATGGACTATTCCATACGTAATAAATACTGCGCCTCAAGAGGAAGCAGAGAGTTCAGCCAGAAGTCGGGCGATCGGCTGATCGGTTGAACTCTTTGCCTTTGAGCGGGGAGGAACCCGAACGAGGCTACGCCGAAGGGCGGATTTTCTTTCCGGGAGGTAAACCGACCCTGAACCCGTTTATATGGGCATATTTTTGGTTGAGACCACAGGCTCGGAGATCACACGTTAAATCGGCCTTGTGCCACATGATGCCCTCGTGGTGGGTGACTAAATACTGTTCAGTCCTAAGTCTGGAGTGAGGTCCGTCAGGAGTCTGTCAGTCAGTCAGAGCGGGTCAGTCAGTCAGTCAGTCGAGTCAAGAGTCGAGTCAGAGGCAGTCCGATACAGAGTCGCGTTCAGACAATTACTACAAGACATTGGAATAGTGATACTGGTTGATACTTTATTGGTTCTACATTGGACCATCACCGTGGTACAAAGACCTGGACCATAACACATATATCCAATGTTTTAATGTTTGCGGAGAACAAACATTGGATGTGAGCATAGTTAGTTGGTTGGTCAGAGGTTTCAGCAATGACAACAGCTATGTGGCTCGCAACCTATCCTGGGCAACCCTAAGATCATGTTGACAGCGAAAATCTCTAGTTAATAAAATTAATATAAGCATTGTGAAAACGTATCTTCTCCTGCAGTGCTCCTTGTGATAGTTTCCATTGAATTACGTAGGAGGCATTATTTTTGGAGCATTCCCGTTTATATATTTGGAAACCTACAGTAGTACGATGTATAGTAAGCGAATTTCACAGTTATTCGGTTGTCTCGTATGTTGGGAGTTCGATCCTTGCTGGTCAACTGAGATTAATATAAAAGTTTATTAAATGTCAGAAAGTACCAGAAAAAAAGGACATTGCCAAAATTGTAACGCCAGAGAATCCAGGTGTATCAGCGAGTTGATCTGAAAATAAAGTCCTAGCCCCCAATAGTAGACCTCTGCTTCACATGATGTCAGTGGCCTACCCCGCCACTAAAACACACGATCGACCAAACTGGGCTTAGTATATGCAACCGTGGAGATAAACCATGTACTCCTCCACTCCAGGGAGAGGTGTGTATCGTACATCTTCGCTGGAATGAACAGCCCACGTTCGGAGAATGTCCCATATTCACTGACCGAAGGTCACTGTGACCGAATACGACGTTGAGTATAAGTGTGAAATTGTTTGATTATTTCGAAAGTGACAATAAATGTTTACGCTCGATTATCGTTTAGGATTTATCGACAATGTGAGTTCAATCTCTTTGGCGTCGTCCGACCGCCATTACTGGCGTTGTTTTCATACGCTTGCCTTGACTAGTAATGCCCGGATGTCAGGGTCCTAGCTATGGGCAAATAGTTAACTATTACCAGCAATAATTTAAAAAAAAATTATTACCAGCAATACAATTTTGAAGAAAATATATTACCAGAAACAGATTTTTGACAAAACAAAATATTACCAACAATAAAAAATGTTGTCGACATTAAATAACCCATTGAGATTGATATGCCGTAAAACAAAATAAACCAAATCAATTTAAACCAAAGAATACATATTCTATTCATACGAATCTATCCTAAAAATGTTGCCGGCATTAAATAACCCATTGAGGTTGATATGTCGTAAACAAAATAAATCAAACCAATCCAAACCAAAGAATACATATTCTATTCATAGGAATCCATCCTAAAAATATTGTCGGCATTAAATAACCCATTGAGGTTGATATGCCGTAAAACAAAATAAACCAAACCAATCTAAACCAAAAAAATACATACTCTATTCATAGGAATCTATCCTAAAAATATTGTCGGCATTAAATAACCCATTGAGGTTGATATGCCGTAAAACAAAATAAACCAAACCAAACGACAACAACAATGATTGTAACAAGAATTTGATTCAAACGTGTATTAAACATTGAAACAATATAAGAATGATATTGACATCTAATAGTATCCGTGGAAATTCCATAGTTTTCCTATTATTAGTGATGGATCATAATTCTTAATTTATTGAATTAATAAGTTTCTCGCGATTTCCACGACAATAAAACATCCTTGAAAATTCCACTATTATTAAATTATTGTTAACATTATTCAATTAAATATTAAAATATCTTCTAATTAAATAAACGGTAAATTCTGTCTGTCGGTTCGTGTATCTGAAACTCCTCTAATTCGGGCCACACTTGCTCTACATAGACATATTAAACCTTTTTGGAATCAGGATGATCCTGGAATAAAAAAAAACTGACCTTCATCTGGTGTTTGAACATCGAGAATTGAAATTTGTTTTGCGGATGAGGAAGGAACAGTTAAAAATTAAAATTTTAAATTAACTGAATTAATTTAATGATTTTATCTTTTTAATTTATATTGAGTTTAAAGTAACTTAAAAAACTTTGTTAATTTAAAACAAAAATGTTTTGATTACAGTTTAAATTATCTCCAAAACTTTGTGAATTGAGGAAATTAGTTTTATTTCTTCAAAATATAAAGGTATCAGAGTTAAAGTGATTGTGACTAAAAAAAAACTAAAATCAATTGAAGTTCCACGGAGTTTATGATTTGAAGAACTCAATTTCCAGCCTGAATTGGAATTTCGGCTAAAATCAGAGTTTAGGACCAATTCGGTCTTTTGACCGGAATTGGACTTATGGCCCGGATCAAAATTAAAGTGAGTTTCTGAAGTTCCATGGAGGGAATTGAGGAATTCAAAATTATTTCTTCAAAATTGTCATTGCTCTTTTCTAAGCTGGACCAAAGGTCGCCTTAGTTTCGGGCCAGAACTCAATTAGCCCTCAACAGGATCTAACTTTAAAGTCCGTACGGAATGCGACTTTTAATCTAGGATATAATTAATAACATATACAAGAAGTAAAAGCAGCGATTGAAAGCTTTAGTAGAACTTATGGAGTCAAACTTATCTTCAAGAAAATACGCGTCTTTCTTGGACTGATTCAGTTTGTAAAGAGATTGAATTTGAGATTCTTTTTTTTTTTTGAAGCCAACTGATTGGCTGATAGTATGTTCGGATGTCAAGTAGGGAAAGATAACTGTTCCCTTTATAATTTTTAATAATAGAAAGACAATCAGGACATTGTAGAAGTCGTCTGAGATCTCTTCCTTCATATGCCCAGCAGGTTATTGTCAAAGGCCGTTGTTGTTGGTAGCTGCTATTTCGTATTTCTCAGTGGGGATGTCATAATTTCCTGACGCTTTGCCTGAGTTTGTCTATGCTGATCTCAGCCTGTTCGGTTCAAACTGCGGCTACTGCTCAGTAAGCAGGCTCAGTGCTGCAGAGTCAAATATGAAGGGTCTATTGAGAAGGTTGCTGAAGTGTTCTGTATTGCGTTTTCTTAAGACTGCTTCGTTTTTAATCTCGTTTATGCCATTAAAAGGCAACCTTGCAGCACTGCCAGATATTGATGGACTATATACTCCCGAAAGAAAGAAAGAATCACAAGGAAAACAGTAAAAGAAACGAAAGCTGTTTTTTTTTTTTAAATGACAAGAAAGCGTACAGAAAGAAAAAGAAAGAAGGAAGGAAAGAAGGAAGGAAAGAAAGAAGGAAAGAAAGAAGGAAGGAAAGAAAGAAGGAAAGAAAGAAGGAAGGAAAGAAAGAAGGAAGGAAAGAAAGAAGGAAAGTAAGAAGGAAGGAAAGAAAGAAGGAAGGAAAGAAGGAAGGAAAGAAAGAAGGAAGGAAAGAAAGAAGGAAAGAAAGAAGGAAGGAAAGAAAGAAGGAAAACTGGTCTGTAAAATGGAAGAAATAGAGAATAAATGTAGAAAGAAAGAATCTCGAATAAATTGAATAAAAGCTCGTTTTTAAAAAGAAAGAGAAAATATAACGAAGAAAGAATGAATGAATGAAAGAAAGAGGGGATCGAAAGCTGATCGTTATAAAGGAAGAGAAAAAAGAAAGAAACAAAGAGTGAATCAGAAGGAAAACAGTAAAAGACAGGAAACCTTGTCTTTAAAAAAATAATGACAAAGAAATACATGTAGAAAAAAAGAAGGAAAGAAAGCTGGTCTGTAAAAAGGAAGAAACAGAGAATTAATGTAGAAAGAAAGAAAGAAAGAAAGAAAGAAAGAAAGAAAGAAAAAAAGAAAGAAAGAAAGAAAGAAAGAAAGAATAACGAGTAAAATAAACGAAGGGTCGTCTTTAAAAGAAAGAAAACGAAATAAATGTAGAAAGAAAGAAAAGAAAGAAAGAAAGAAAGAAAGAAAGAAAGAAAGAAAAAAGAAAGAAAGAAAGAAAGAAAAGAAAAGAAAAGACGAAAGAAAGACAAAAGAATCACGAGTAAAAACCAAAGGCTCGTCTTCAATAAGAAAAAAAGAAAAAAGAAAGAAAGAAAAAAGAAAGAAAGAAAAAGAAGAAAACGAAGGCTGGTATTTAAAAAGAAAGATAAAAAAACAAACGTAAAATGAATGAAAAAAGAAAGAAAGAAAGAAAGAAAGAAAGAATCCCGCGTAAAAGAAATGAAGGTTGGTCTGTAAAAATAAAGAAACAGCAAATAAATGTAGAAAGAAAGAAAGAAAGAAAGAAAGAAAGAAAGAAAGAAAGAAAGAATCAAGTGTAAACGAAACACGAAATAAGTTGCATAAACGGCCGAACAAACAAGATCGATCAAAAACATAGCTACTTTGAGGTTGCATGTGCGAATATATTTCATCCATGGGCGGAGTTGAGACAGCGTCCCCTACAGGTAATGATGGCATGCATTGTTGTAGGGGAATTGGGTATGACGTGATGTTGCCGTGCCTCGTTAATCAGGAGAGCGTCAAGTTGATGAGTGAGATGTCATTATAATTCAAAATCCTGTAAGAGGCTGAGGCGTTTCGTGCTTAAGTGTCGCTTATGGGGCCTACAGGGTGGCCAAAACAAATACCGGCGAAAATCTTTATTGTGAATACCCAAGGATAGTGTCCGGTATAGATTCTCGTCAACTGGGTCCGCTATTACTGGATAATAGCGGTCGCCCCGGGGATTTGTATTCTGGATATAATGGAGAATTTCTAGTTGGTTTATAAAAAAATTCACTCTGTGAAATGGTACATTCATTTTTGTATTCTGACATTGTCTAAAAAGGGAATATCTTTCCTGGCAAAGGGGCTTTTATTGTCAACCGGCACTCATTGTATAAGATTGAATCTGATTGAAACTAAGTTATAATCACGAGGATGTTCTCATAGTCATATCGTAAGTTATTATCACGAACACATTCTCATAGTCATATCGTAAGTTATTATCACGAGGACCGTCTCATAGTCATATCGTAAGTTATTATCACGAACACCTTCTCATAGTCATATCGTAAGTTATTATCACGAGGACCGTCTCATAGTCATATCGTAAGTTATTATCACGAACACCTTCTCATAGTCATATCTTAAGTTATTATCGATGATGTTATCATAGTCATATCGTAAGTTATTATCACGAGGACGTTCTCATAGTCATATCGTTATTATTATTATCACGAGGACCGTCTCATAGTCATATCGCATTATCACGAGTTATTATCACGAGGACCGTCTCATAGTCATATCGCAAGTTATTATCACGAACACCTTCTCATAGTCATATCGTAAGTTATTATCACGAGGACCGTCTCATAGTCATATCGTAAGTTATTATCACGAGGACCGTCTCATAGTCATATCGTAAGTTATTATCACGATGATGTTATCATAGTCATATCGTAAGTTATTATCATGAGGACCGTCTCATAGTCATATCGTAAGTTATTATCACGAGGACCGTCTCATAGTCATATCGTAAGTTATTATCACGAGGACGTTCTCATAGTCATATCGTAAGTTATTATCACGAGGACCGTCTCATAGTCATATCGTAAGTTATTATCACGAGGATCTTCTCATAGTCATATCTTAAGTTATTATCACGATGATGTTATCATAGTCATATCGTAAGTTATTATCATGAGGACCGTCTCATAGTCATATCGTAAGTTATTATCACGAGGACCGTCTCATAGTCATATCGTAAGTTATTATCACGAGGACGTTCTCATAGTCATATCGTAAGTTATTATCACGAGGACCGTCTCATAGTCATATCGTAAGTTATTATCACGAGGATGTTCTCATGGTCATATCGTAAATTACGGCGTACAAGTCGAATTTTCAAGCCTAAAAAGAATCTTTCCAAAATTATAGGTCGATTCATATGGTGAGTATAAAATACAAAACAACCACGCAATTTGTACACAAGTGGGACAACGCTACTAGCAATTACTGTACAATATTTACCCTACTCCCAGGAGGTTTTCACAAATATATCCCACTAAAACTTGTGTTTAGTAATCCCATTTGGCATATTAATACAGGAATTAATATAAAATATTAAAATAGTAACAAAATATTTAGTGTTATATTAACGCTACAGAACACATCACGTTCAACCGCTGATACACTAAGTGGTGACGTCACTGGTAGTTTGTTTCCATCACAGATGCAAATGGAGGATGAGTGATATTGTGTTTTACAATAACAGAAGATACGTAGCAGTTCTATCAAAATCCTAACTAAATATACGGTATTGATATTATATGGGAGTTGATGTTGACTTTAATGTGTTTATCAGTAGACCTGACGAATTTTAAATTAACTTATACCGATAAAATATACCTGTATGTTGTAGTGTTTCTTCTATACATTGTATATAGAAATGTATTACGGTTAGTATCCCAATATACAGGTAAGTGGTGTGACCTTATGTAGTTTTTGACAGAGGTTTTCGTACACTGTAGTATAAATTTATTTATCGGTATGGCTAAGTTTTCGGAACACTGCTAGTATACCGTATGTTTTGGGGTCGACCTATGAGGTAGCCATATGCCTAACTCTAAATTTTGTGATTAAAACTTAAAATAGACTTGTACGCCAAGTCGGCTTGTACACCGCAGTTTACAGTAATTTGTAATTAATAATGTTAAAATACAATAAGCGTCAATGCTTTTTTCTATGAGTTAAAAAAGAGAGAGATATGACAAGAGTTCTTTATCCAACACAAGCCAAACTCATTACACATAGATAAAGAGATATGACAAATGTAAACAGTCATGGCTGATTTCTAAATAGAATGACAATTACAAAATGCGATAAACAGATAGATAGATTTAGAGCTTTGTATATATATATATATATATATATATATATATATATATATATATATATATATATATATATATATATATATACACATTTCATTGAATACGACAGACAAAGTGCTTTTATTTAGATTTATACAATTTCTCATTCGATCTAATAATATTTTCTTTTCTTTTTCGGAGGATGAATTATATAAAAACTGTCCGAATTTCTTATTTAAGAGTTAAAATATTTAATCCTTGAAAATGTATAGCCGAAAGCGCTCGGATAAAAAGAACATTCGGACAGTTTTTATATAATTTATCATCCGAAAAGAAAAATGATAAATTGTATAAAAAAAAAAAAAAAGCACCTTGTCTGTCGTATTCAATGAAATGTGCATGAAAAAAGGATTGCTGCCTAACACACACACAGACACACATATATATATATATATATATATATATATATATATATATATGGCCACTCGTATTCAGTATACCTGTCTACTAGGGCGGCTAGCTAATCCCTATTGCAGGCGTTTGCTCAGGCGCATTTGTGTTTATTCAACCCCCACAGATCCCACCAATGGTTTATACTGCAACTGTGCAGAGCAGACCATAGTTACAGTTTCTGGGAAAGAGCATGTTATCTAGCGTGATCACCAATTTGAACAAAGCCATCACGTTCAAGCCCTCGGCCACGATGACTTGTGACTTTGTGCTAGCATAGCTCTCGACAGTCCCCAATATAACTCTCAAGGCACGGGTATGGTTTTCAGGTGTGGTATGGTTTTCAAGTACTTTCCAAATATGATGTACGCTGGGATCGACCCCCTCTGTCCGATAACATCAGCAACTAACAACTAATTGACAAATCTACCATGATGAGATTCGAACCCGGGTCTTATGGTAAAAAATGCGAACTTTCCAACCACTCGGCCACTTGCCCGCAATATATATATATATAAGACCACATTCACAAACTTTAAAATAAAAACGGAAATAAAGGGAAAAAGAAAAAAATATATATACATGTATTGTCAAATGACCGGATATATTGTAGCGTCCTTGTCGAACGTAATTTCAATGAAGAAATGAATTGAATAAACATATATATTTTTTCTTTTCTCAATAATTTTGTAGTTTTAAACTTAATAGTGATTAAATTTGGATTTTAAAATTGCCAGTTTTTAATTTTAATATTAAATTTTATCATATAATTTTATAATTATTAGTTAGTATAAATTATTTTTAATATTACACGTATTTAAAGATCTGAATAGCTATTATAGCAGGATTTCGTTGTCAAGCTTTTGAATCTTTCTATACTTCGTTTTGATTGGTTATTCTAGATTTTGTAACAATGTTTCCCCCCTAGTGTAGGATCGTTAATTAATCTGAAAACTTTTAAAACCATTTATTTTCTTTTCAACATCATCCTTGATAAGACACAGAGTGTGTTGAAACAAAATGGCTATTTTGTAGTGATTTTATAACATACTTATGTTATAATTTTTATAAAAATAATAAAATGTATATATATATATATATATATATATATATATATATATATATATATATATATATATATCACGGAAATAAATAAGTGCACAAGAACAGAGGTGTTCAATCAAAGACGTGTACCCACTAAATATAACCTAGATAGATAGATAGATAGATAGATAGATAGATAGATAGATAGATAGATAGATCTGGACAGACTGAGATCGATAGATAATGAACAGAGTGAAATAGATTAATAATTAGCAGAAATAGATAGGCAGATAGACAGACAGACAGTGAACAAAGTGAGATATATTATGTAGAAAGTGTGATAGATAATGAACAGAGTGAGATAATATAGATAGATAGATAGATAGATAGATAGATAGATAGATAGATAGATATAGTAACAATTTCAGACACAGAGCTAGATAAGAAGATAAACATATAGATATCCATTGGGGGACATGATAAGCTGTAACTTTCTTGCTATAGGCCACGTTTTGTTGGGTGTACAGAGTAAGTGACTTTCAACGACTATCGGACACGATCACTCTAACCACAGCAACGCGAAGCGATGATGTGGTCGTTTGTGGTATTAGTAGATAAAAAAGACAAATGCAACCGCCTTTTAATCCGAGGTTAGGCCATTCTAATCCTGTGGCTACGTAATAGGATCCATTTGTATCCTCTTGACACACTCCGCCTACAATGGCAGCTATCAAAGGAAGTCTAGTGACAAAGAAACGTTAATCATCCATTTCTCGCCTTGAAGGCAAGTGAGCTGGCTGATTCATACGATGCCAGGTGGTCCCCACTGACGTGACGTGGGTCAAGGCGGTGGAGAGTTTGTAGCAAAATAGGATCGTCCATCTAGACGCTGACCGAGCAAGCGCTGCCCTAGACAGTTATAGCCCAATCGTTAGAACAATGCTCTTCCTTCTCCGCCTTCATTGCTGTTTCACACTTCTTACTTTTTTTTTTCTGATTTACTTCAACTCAGTGCATGTGATAAACAG